GCTTCACTGTATCATAGCACAATCTTAACATAAAATGCTGAACATACATGTGAATGTGATTCCACAAAAATTATCACAAACAATTTTTTTATGTTAATCTTCATTTTTTTGTGTTAAATAGCTTAACAATACTTTTTGTGTCTTTACATTCTTTGCCACAAGTGACCAATAAACTATATTTGACCTGTGAGACTTTTACCTGGACAGGTGCCTCTTCTGAGAGTAAACAAGCAGGTACTTGACTCGCAGAAGCTGATTGTTGGTGACAACAAAGTACTTCTGTGGTACGTCCCCTCCTTCACTGTTCTTTGCTCTGGAGCGCTGACGGTCGATGGTTTCAGAATCTGTAACAAGTGGGAGGTTTTAATATGCAGCTATTTAAAACATGTATGATTTATGTTTTCTGAATACTACACTTCACGTGGGGTTCACACCTTTTTTCTTGACCTGGCACTTAACATCTGGATGATCAATGACTTCACACAAGGCAACGCAACTGAGCAGTGAACCGAGCAGACTGTCTCTCCAGCCGCTGCTGTGGGGACTATAGAGGACAGCCATGCTGAGGTCACTGGTGAGGTAGGTCCCCTCTCCAAACACTGAGTTCTGTGCATCCAAAAACAAATCAGATCGAACAGATGCAAGTTTATACACAGACACAACCAGGCATCTTTGATTTCCACCTGGTCTTCAATCCTGTACAGTTAAAGAAGCCACTGACCTTGTTAAGGTGACAGTGCAGCCCGTTGTGAATGATTGAGTGAAAGTTCTCCAGGCGGCTCCCGTGGAATGCATAGAAGACGTCTTGTCCCGCCCTCGTCTTCTCAAACCTGGCGTTCAACTGGTCACAGTATTCCACCTCAAAGAGGAAGTCTGGCACAGGTGCAGAAATCCCTTCGTTTTCTGTCAAGTTGCACAGTTTGGCATACTGGTGGAGATCAAAGAAACAGACCGCCATCAAAACAATAACCAGTTACAGACACTGTGATTTAGGTCATTCTAGGTGTAATGATGTACCTCATCTTTCTGCAGCGTCTTCACAGCAAAGCTGTTTGAAGAGAGAATCCAGTGTGTGAGAGCCAGATGATGATCTGCCTCTCCAGGTCGCAGTCTCACCAACTCTCTGACACCAGGCAAAGACTTCACATCTCCCAGCTACACAACAAAAGAAACTGTTTGGTACAATGGCATGGCAGCAGGCGGCAGAACGAGTCATGTGTCTTTTTATTTACCATTTTTTGATCAAATATTCTAATGCTCCTTTTAATTACTCTGAAATTAGAAAA